TATGAAGGGCTTCAATTTCTTTTTGCATCGCCATCATCCACAGTGAAACATCTGAGCTGTGTATTGCCTCCTGGTATGTTGATGGCTCACCGTCCTCTGTTAAAAGGCAGTATGCAATATTACCTTCTATAACATAATCTGAGTGCCAATTGGGACGTCTTCTCTCACGATCTGATTGACGAGTTGTTGGAGCTTCAGAACTCCCTAGTTCTTGTTCATCATGTGCTGGTTCTGCTTCAGAAGAATCTCCTTGTTCAACCTCATTTTCCACATGTATCTGTGTAGTCTCTGACTTTTCAGCGTTATCATCATCTTCTTTTCTTTGTAACTTATCTTCTACAAAGATAACATCCCTGCTAATGATCACTTTGCGGGCAGTAGGATCCCACAAGCGATACCCCTTTACTCCATCAGCATACCCCAAGAATTTGCATTTCCTGGATTTTGGATCCAGCTTTGAAATTTCTTGGGCGTTGTACATCACGTACACAATACTTCTAAATACATGGAGGTTTGAATAATCAATTGGTTTAGCAGTCCACATCTCCATTGGTGTCTTCAGCTCTATTATAGTTGATGGAGCTCGATTCACCAAATAACAGGCGGTATTGATTGCTTCTGCCCAGAATGATTTTTCTAGGCCTGCATCCCTCAACATTGCTCTTGTTCTTTCTAATAAGGTTCTGTTCATCCGCTCTGCCACTCCATTTTGTTGAGGAGTGTTCGCCACTATGAACTGTTTTTTGATGCCTTCTTTCCTGCAAAAGTCATCAAATTCTTCACTTGTGTATTCTCCTCCATTATCTGTTCTGAAACACTTGATTTTATTTCCAGAATCAAGTTCCACCCGCACTTTGAAGTTTTTGAAAGTTGAAAACACATCGGACTTCTTCTTAATAGGGTACACCCAACATCTCCTAGAGTAGTCATCAATAAATGAGACAAAATATTTTGCTCCGCCTAGGGATGTAACTGGTGCTTGCCATACGTCAGAGTGAACCAGTTCTAGAACACTTTTGCCTCTAGAATTTGATGTGTTGAATTTCAACCGGTGCTGCTTACTTGTTATACAATGCTCACACAAAGGAACTGATATCTTTGTTAAGCCGGGAAGTAGCTTTTGCTCCACAAGGACTTTCATTCCTTGTTCTGACATGTGTCCAAGTTTCTGATGCCATAGCATTGCAGAATCTGAACTACATGAGGCAACAGATGCTTCTGCTTCTAGCAAAGTCTCTCCCTTCAGCATGTACAAGTTTGCTGCTATCTTTTCGCCTTTCAACACCACAAGCGCTCCACGGAACACCTTCATGATTCCTTTCCGTGTTTCAATCTTGCTTGTATTATTATCCAACAATCCGTAGGATAATAAATTTTTCTTTAGGTCTTTCACGTGCCGCATATCTCGAACAACTTTAATTGTTCCATCATACATCTTCAATTTGATGGTTCCCACGCCAATGATTTCTAAGGCATGATCATTGCAACTATACACAGATCCTCCTGAGACAGGTTCATACTGATGGAACCATTCTCTTCTTGAGGTCATGTGATATGTTGCTCCTGAATCAATGAGCCATATATCTGCAAATCTTTTTCTTCCTTCCACGGTGGTTGACGCTTCACAGCATAGTGCATCTCCATCATCTGAAGTGTTTGCGATATTACCTTGTGGATTGGAGTTTTTATTTAGACTCCAACAATCCTTCTTCAAGTGACCCTTTTTTCTACAGTTGTAGTACTTTAAATTCTTCTTGCTCCTCGACTTTGATCTACCATGTTTGTGACTGCTGCTTTGGCCGCGTTCTGTTGATCTCCCTCTCGTCGTTGTCAACGCTTCTGCTTATTGCAGATTTACTTGTCTGTCTTCCTTGTTCTTGCGCCGATTTTCTTCTTGTAGAACAGCAGCTGCAACGTCATCGAAGACTAGACTGGTGACATTATTGTTTGTCAAGTTGATGATGAGTTGATCATACGAATTCGGTAGACTTTGAAGTAGAAGTTCATCACGTTCTTGTTCTACTATTTTACATCTTAAGGATGTAAGCTGAGAAAATAAAGTGTTCAGTGTGTTTAAGTGCTCCGTCACTGAAGTAGATTCTGACATCCGAAGAGTGTACAATTTCCTCTTAAGGAAAATTTTATTGTGCAACGATGTGGCCTCGTACAATTTGGTGAGATGATCCCATATCTCCTTAGTTGTCTTCTTCTCCTCGATGCTTGACAATACTTCATCTGCTAATGCTAGATGAAAGTTGGTCATAGCATTCCTGTCCATCTCGTTCCATTTGATGTCATCTGCGAAATCCATCGGCCTTTCATTGATAGCCGCTAGACACCAGTCTTTCCTTAGGATGGCCTTCATCTTCAATTTCCACAATGAGAAATTTCTCCCATTGAATTTTTCAATATCAAATTTCGTTGCTATAGCTTCTTTTACGGATAGCTCCCACTATTTCACTATCGTGAATAGTTCTCTGGAACCTTCAAAGAATGGGTAATAACTTCTTATTTTCTTATGTTGGAGGATCCACCTTTTGGTGGCAACCACAAAGACAATAAGCAGATATTACACACTCTAATCTAGCTCGGATACCAATTGTTGCGGAAGACGGCTATCGGATAGAGCAAAATCGCAACTGATAATTTGAGAAAATAAAAATGAAGATAAAAGAGACAGAATTTACGTGGAAAACCCCTAAAAATTTAGGGTAAAAACCACGGGCAACAATTTAGGATAAAAGAGACAGAATTTGGGGATGGTTTTGAAGCTAAATGAGCTAGGGTATTTATAGTTGAAGCTTTAAGGACTAATTTGTAAATACCCTAAATTACAATGACTAATTGCATAGTTTTACCATCCAAAATTTTCAACAATTTGGTGGCCAAATTTGACCAATTTTGCCACCCCATTAATGCCATCAAATTGCCACCCATAATGTTGACAATTGATGCAATTTGGTGTACCAATTTTCAACATTTGAAGTAGTTTATCCTTTTTATATATAAATTTTTATGATGTTGTTTGTCTTATCTTCAGGTTTTGTTAAACTTTTTTTTAAAGAATGGTTGTGATATGTATGTTTGGAGTATTTGTGAATTATTTTTCCTGGTTGTAAGATATTAATTTGGTGTATTTATGAATTATTTTTCTAATTGTAAGATATTAATTTGGTAGATTTGTGAATTTTAATTTGAAGTTTTAGACTTGGATTGTTTCTCAAATTATTTTTACTGTTTTTTTAATTTATTAATTTCTGTTTCTATTGAATTTCATATGTTATCATTAGATTTTATATGTATTAAAAAATAAAGTGGAAATTTTATAACTAACACAAATCGAGTAAAATTTTATTAAGCTTAATAAGTCCAAACATGAATGTAATAAATTTTAAATAAAATCAAATATTATTTAATCTGTGATCGACCCAATAAATATCTCTAACAATGGGCATACAAAAGAAAACAGGGGGGATTAAAAAATCCATTACGGCTAACATAGCGGTCAGCATGTGAGCTAATTGTTGAATTCCACATAATGGAAGGAATCGGATAAAGAAGAGAGTAGAAAAGGTTGGAAGGACAAATACACTTAGGGTGCGTTTGGTTCACGAAATGTAAGATTATCAGTGGAAATGTAAGATTACCAGAGAATAAGATTACTGGAATATTGTATTTTGTGTTTGGTTGGCTTAGCAAGAATGTAAGATTACCGTGTTTTGTTAAATGAATAAAAGATTATTAGAATTTATATTTGACCAAATTTTCTTTATTATATATTTGTATAATATTACAAGTTGGAAAATATTTATATATTTTCTTTAAAAAATTTAAATTCATAATATTTATATAATTTTTTTACAAAATTAAAAATACAAAAAATGTTTAATGAAAGGGTAAAATTTTATTTTAACCCATGAACTTCATATAAAATTTTAATTATAGATTTTTTTTTTGTAAATCTAAAATAATTTAAGGATGAATTTGTAATTTAATCTTCGTAGAATTTTTATTATTCAATGACAGAAGAAGAATATTTTTGAAAAAAAATAAAAAATTAAGGGTATTTTAGTCCAAAACGCCGGTAATCCAACAATACCTAAGGAAATGGAGGTAATGATATTCTCGATAATATACCCCAAAAAATCTACTATTGGTAATATTTCATTATCGGGAATGAGATTCCTGGCCTAACCAAACCGAAATGTGGGATTCTCATGGGAATGAAATCTATATTCTCCCATTTGGTTAGTTCGGGAATCTCATTCCCGATAATGTAAGATTACCAATAGTGGATTTTTTGGGATATATTACCGGGAATGGCATTACCTTTCTTTTCTTAGGTATTGTTGGATTACCGACGTTTTGGACTAAAATGCCCTTGATTTTTTTTCTCAAAAATATCATTCTTCTGTCATTGATTAATAAAAATTTCACGAAGGTTAAATTACAAATTTATCCTTAAATTATTTTAGATTTACAAAAAAAATCTATAATTAAAATTTTATATGAAGGTCAGAGGTTAAAATAAAATTTTACCATTTCATTAAATATTTTTATATTTTCAATTTTGTAAAAAAATTATATAAATTTTATGAATTTAAATTTTTTAAAGAAAATATATAAATATTTTTCAACTTGTTAAAAAACAAATATATATTAAAGACAATTTAGTTAAATATACGTTCCAATAATCTTTTATTCCTTTAACCAAACACGGTAATCTTACATTTCTACTAAGTCAATCAAACATAAAATATAATATTTCTAGTATCCTACTCTTTGATAATCTTACATGAATCAAATGCATTAATATGCACCATGAAAACCCTCCACTTTGTTTTGATTCCAGCCCACAATCAACTGCATCCTAGGCCCGACAGTTAAATTCGAGTTAATCTTGATCCATATCTTAAAACAATTGAATTAAATCTTGTGTTTTTAATTAAATGAAACCAACCAAATCGATTTTAAATACCTAAATGGACCCACTCAGAAATATCTTCTTGTCATCTCCTGCTCGTTCTTTGCTTGGTGCTATTCTCTTTCCTGCTACTCCCTGCTTTTTCTTTCTTTCCTTAATTTCTCTTCTATTGAAGAGGTATGTTATTCCTTTTACAAATTTATGCATATTATCTGATCTAATATATACCTTTTTTTTTAAAAATTGATTTTTTTTGGCAGTTTTAATTATTCTTTGAGGGGAAAAAAGGTGTTTTTGCTATGATCTCAATGATCTAGCTTTATTTACCTTGGATGCTTCATGTTTTTTCTATCAATTATAAAATTTCCATGGTCTTATATTCATCGTTCTGATTTTTGTTGATAATAATATAGTAGCAGCTATGGTTTCTTTGACTTTTATATTCTATCACAAGCTTGTTTCCCAGAAATTTGTTACCTTTTAGTGGGATTATAATTGTCTTCTTTTGGAAAATTTCCACAGATTTTGGTTTTTTTGTTAAAAAAAATGCTGCTGCAAAGAACACTACTTTAAGCACAATAATCATGGAACTTCAATAAATCCTAAATTGCTAATTCAAATTTGTCTTTCATGTTGACTGTAATCAATTAAAACCATAGTTATGACGTCAGCTTATTTGTTTTTTTCTTTTTCATTTAAAGTCATTTCATTTCAGGAAGCTTTTTTGTGTAAGAATGAAGGCGGCAAGGAGCAGAGCAGCTGCAACAAGGAAGGACAGCAAGGAAGCAAAACAGCCTGCTGAGGACAAGTTTGTAACATGATTCTTTTATATTGCGTTTTAATTCATTAATTCTGGTTATTTCATGTTGTATATTTCAGACAAGATATGGATCATTTATGAATTTCTTTGCTTCTAGGATCGTCGGGAAGCGAAAGGCGGCAAGCCGAGCTGATAAGAGTGACCAAAAACGCTCAAAGAACGTAACATCAGCCAAGAAAGACCCGAATAAACCAAAGAGACCTGCCACTGCTTTCTTTGTTTTTCTGTGAGCTTCTATTGTAGCAAAAAGTATGAAACTTTCAGTTCATATACAACGATATAATTCAAACTATGATTTTGATTTGCAGGGAAGAGTTTAGAACAATTTACAAACAAGAACATCCCAAAGTGAAGGCTGTTTCGGCTGTAAGTAATAATCTGCTGTCATATGTTTGCTTAATGTGCTTATATCCCTTATTTCGGACTGTTGACATGATTTCATTACCTGATATTGTGATGAAGGTGGGCAAAGCAGGCGGAGAGAAGTGGAAATCAATGTCGAATGCAGTAAGTTTCTAGATTTTTCACCTCAAATTGCTTGTGCTGGTTGGGGATTTGCATGGACAAGGAATTATGTCGATGGCTCCTCCGGTCGATGGTTGCCGTTAACTTGGAAAATACCATGGATTCTGTTTGTAAAGGCAATGCATAAAACTTCTACTGTGGCTCCTCTGGGCTCAGCTATGCACCGATCACATGTTTGACGTCTTTGGAACTGTTATGGCATGGTTACACCAATGTCATTCTGCCATTCTGGTATAAACTACAGGGAACATAGATTCATGGTATTGAATGGGATGGTGGATTTGTCACATAAATAAATTAGTCAAATTAACTAGTTATGGGAAAATAGACTTGTTTGTAAGTTCTATTCTCTATCTGTCGTTTCATACTGGACTCTTTCGATAATCAACCTCAAACCCTTAAATGATCTCTCTGTTGGTTGCCATTGGTAGGAGAAAGCTCCATACGAAGCAAAAGCAGCAAAAAGGAAATTGGAATATGAGAAGCTCATGGCAGCCTACAACAAGAAACAGGTAGATTACAGTCATTCAGTACTCGAAATGCAAAATTCATCCTCTTAGATTTCTCGACATTATTCTGTCGAATGCAGGAAACTACAGATGATGAGGAAGAAGCGGATTCCGAATCATCAAAATCCCAAGCGAATGACAAGGATGATGAAGCGAGTGAGGTAACTTTTTAAGCAAAATACACTTTCCTAGTCAAACTCGCTCCAAAGTTTTCAATCTTCAATATGATAACTTTTTTCTGCAATGGCAGGAGGACGAAGAAGATGAGGATGATGATTGAATCCGGGGTGGCTTCGGATTAAGTTGTGTAAATGAACCATGTTAAAGGAAAGTAATACTGTCTTAGTGACTCTGTGTGATTGTGTGTTTACTTTAAATCGTGTGCTTGGCTTTTCGATGTGAAAGAAACAGCTCCTGTATTTCTATACTAGTCTCTTAAGCACGAAAGGTTTACAGTTATATTATATTCAGTCAGCTTTTATACATAAACACATACATGATACATAATATGTATGTATGCGTGAATGCATGTACGGATTCTAATAGGCAGCTTTCATAAAATCCTTCAAAATTGTGCTGCTAATGGTGCCATTGAGATTTCTGATACTGAATACAATAATAGAAAAAGATCACCAAAAGGCCTTGAGACAAGGGGGTCAAATTGTTTAATTTTAAACATTAATTTTCATGTAATACAAAAGCTGTACTCAAAATCGTGAAAGAATGCTTGAATATATAAACAATTTCGTGTATTTGTATATGTTGGCTTTATACTATCTGTTTGTTGAGCTTTCCAGGTGACCGAGTTGTTTAAGATAAAATCTGCAAAAATGAAACAAACAAAAACAGGCATAAAAAAGCTTAGGTTAATTATCTGATGTCATTGATATGTAATTTAACAGATGAAATATTTGTATAAATTAAGCTAACTTGCTTTCTGGTTTTGACTTGTTTAAAACGTTCATCCATTGCTTTCACTATTATAGTTGCTTCTGTATCCAAGAACACTGTGGCACTATTGCTTTAATTTCAGCACAACAGCGCACAATATTCAGCTTCTATACTTTCTAGAAAGTATATTACCTTGGCGGGCTCATGGTCAACTATCTGCCGAAACTTAAGCTCCTTACTTTCTAAATCATCAGCAGACCGCCCACATTGAACCTATGAGGTCTACCCCGAATGATCTTAAGCTGTAGTTGAAGTTTTCAAATATATGATATGAATTGTTAAAGGAGATTACGTGGGTAGGGTAAAAAGAACAATCATTATTAACTTTTACTAATTGATAATCATTAAATGATTCGTTTTTCTTTCTCACTTGTAAAAACTAAAAATATAATACACAGATAAAGAGAAAAGTGTTCCAAAGTAAAAGATTACGTGGCAGCACATTCAAATTGGAAAAAAAGTCAAACACGAAATCATAACTCATTTAGAGCTTATCCATATTATATTTGTATATATCTTAAGGGACGTTTGGTTGACCGCAGTAGCAGATGTATTAAGCTCTATAGAAATTAAGTGTATTTTATTATTTTAGAAAAGTGGTTAAATTTAATTTAATGTATTAAGAAAAAGAGAAAAAATTATAATTTTTGCATACCCATTATTTTTAAGTAAAGAAAATTAAAATTTTAGATATCATTCTTAAATTTCTGAATCTGCCACTGGTTCACGGAATGTAAGATTACCTTTAGGGTGCGTTTGGTTCACGGAATGTAAGATTACCAGTGGGAGTAAAAGATTACCGGGGAATAGGATTACTGAGAATGTTGTATTTTGTGTTTGACTGGTTTAGCAGGAATGTAAGATTACAATATTTGGTTAAAGGAATAAAATATTGTTGGAATGTATATTTTATTAAAGAGAAAATAACCTCAGTGACCAAAAATGCCTTATAATATACGATTTTAACCAACTTTTTTTGGATTTGCCAAAATGACCAACTAAATCGCAATGCGATCGATAATTCGCAATGCGATCTCTGGTATCACAAATCAGTTTCCAGATTCGCAACGCGATTCTGACTATCGCATTGCGATTTCCCAAATTCGCGTTGCGATTTTCCTAATTCGCAATGCGAATACGTAAATCGCAACGAGATTCTGACTATCGCAATACTAAATTTCAAATTCGCAACTCGATTTCTGAATTCGCAACAGGTTTTAATTTCGCAACACAAATGTTTTGGGTATATAACTACGCAGCAACAATTCATAACCTAAATCCCTAAATCGCAACTCATTCCATCTCCATCTATCACTCTCTCCGGCGACATCCGTTCCTATATCCAACGACATCCTTCCCCATCCGGCAACAAGTTTTAGTTTCGCAGCTCGTTTGTTTAGTAAATTAATTTACAATAATGAAATCATCTAATGTTGATCATGTTTGGATAGATTTGTGTTTTGGAGGGTCATGGGAGAATGTTCATGGTGTTTTACAATATATGCCTTTACCCATGAATCTTTAACTAAAATTATCATTAAAAAAGTTAACTTATGAAACTCTAATGTTACGTGTTGCAAATAAATTGAATTTAGAGCCCCTAAGTGGATTTAGGCTATCTTATCAGAGAAATGGTAAAGTTTATTTGTTAACCGACAATGAAGATGTTGAACGATTCATTGCTTACATTAGTGTTTCAAGTGATGATGTTACATTGTATGTTGTTAAACCTAGAAGTAGTGAAGTTGGGTCAGTAGCGGGTAGTAATCAACTAAGTTTTTCAACCCCAATTTATGGTGCTCAAAATTTAATGGTTCCACCACAATTTCATCACCAAGCAAATATTGTTTCACCATATTTCCAATACCAAACACAATCTCAAAACCCACAACCTTTCCCTAATCCAAATCCCAATCAACTTTCAGCACCAAATTCTGGTTTTCGTATTGACCAGTTAGACGATGATGAGCCAACAGAAAAAATTGTGAGTACTAGTCAGTATTCGAAATTTGATCTTGGTCAATACCCGGACTTTGATCTTGGTCAATACTCGGATTTTGATGATTTTTCAGAAGAAGAAACATACCCTGCGTGTAATGATTTTGATATTGGTCAATACCCGAATTTTGATGATGAAACAGCCGTTGCCGAGGAAGATGTTGTTGATGATAATGAGGAAGAAGTTACGACTGTAAATGAACATGTTGAACATCCATTCTGTAATTCATATAACACTGAAGAAGAAAAAGAAGAAGAAGAAATCTCCAAAGAAAAGTCCCCGAAGAAAATGCCACGGGAGTATAACTGGAATATGCCAGAATTACTTCAGATACCGGAAGAATAGTTGGTAAAGATAGTAGTTGATTGTTACACAAAAATTATTCGTATCAAGAAAGATGATTGTTTTGATACAAAAGAAGACTTGAAGATAGCTTTGTATACGAAATGTGTGGAAGATGGCTATCAACTAAAAGTTAACAAATCAAGCAAAGATCGTTTCGAAACAAGGTGTATGATTGACAAAAACTGTATGTGGCGTATGAATTCAAAGAGGATAAAAGATTGCGAAATGTTTCAAGTTAGGACTTTTATTGATAAACATACATGTTCAAGAACCCAAGTTTTTCCTCACCATAGACAGGCAAACAAAAAGGTGTTGGGTGGTTTTCTGGCTGAGTTAATGTTTTTGAATGGTAGGGTATATCGGGGACATGAAATTATGACTGACATGAATGCTCGGTTCAAGATTAGTATCTCATATTCTCAAGCTTGGAGAGCCAAATGTTATGCCTTGGAATTGTTGAGGGGGTCGCCAGAAGCATCGTTTGCCCAACTGCCGGCTTATTGTCACAATTTAAAGCTAAAAAATCCTGGGTCGGTAACTCATATCAAAACAGATAGAGATGGACGCTTTGAGTTACTGTTTATCGCCATTGGTGCTGCGGTTAGTAAATCAATATAATTTTGTTGACTCATTTTTGTTAGTTACATGCATTTCACATTTAAATGATTATATTTCTTGTGTATATGATTTTGTAGATTCATTCGTTTATTAATTGCATGCGCCCAGTTATTATAGTTGACGGAGCACATTTAAAAGGTCGATACCTTGGAGTAAACTTATTAGCAGTAGCCATGGATGCTAACAATGGGATACTTCTAATAGCTTACGGGGTTGGCAAATCTAAAACCTCTGATTCATGGACATGGTTTATGGGCATCTTAGGGATTGCATAGGTCCTATTAGTAATCTGACAATCATATCCGATAGGGCAAACTCAATTGACAACGCTGTTAGAAGGTGTTTCCCAGATGCTTTTCATGGACTTTATGGTGTTCATTTATATAGAAATCTAAAATCAAGGTCTGCTGGTATAAAAAATCACAAATGGACATACTGGAAGGCTGTAAAAGCTTATCGGGAAGTGGATTTTAATAAGCATATAAACTGTTTAAGACGTGTTTTGCCTCAGTGTGCTCAAACACTAGAAGATGTCGGGTTTGAAAGATGGTCAAGAGTACATCAACTTGGAGCAAGATATGGTTTCATGACGTCTAATAGTGCAGAATCAATCAACGCTCTAAGTCGTCATTCCCGGAAATTACCCATTACTATGTTAATGGAGTTTTTTCGAGCCTCTATTCAACAGTGGTACTACAAGAAAAGAAACCATGCAGGTATTATTTCTTTAAATTCGTAACTTATCATATATTTTACTAAGTATTATTTATTTAAATTTACAGGAACATTGAAACATCGTGTTACACCATGGACAGAAAAAAAGACAACGAAACGTGTTGTGAACTCAACGTCATGGAGAGTTGAACCATGTTCAAACACTTTGTTTGAAGTACTGGATAATAACTTAAATGGGCTTGTCGATCTAAATGCAAAGACGTGTAGTTGTATGAAATGGCAAACATCTGGTTATCCGTGTGGCCATGTTATAAAAGTTTCTCTTCATCTAAACCAAGATGATTCAAGCGCATCGCTATGGATTGCTACACTACAGAAGTATATCGATAGACTTATGGCGAGATTGTCTACCCTATTCCACATCCTTCTGAGTGGGACATACCAGATGACTTACAAACAGTTTTGTCACCAGCCATGGACAGAAGGCTACCTGGCCGACCAAAAAGTCACGATCGTATACCGTCTAAGGGTGAAGAGAAGAAGAGATCGACATGTAGTCGGTGCAAGGAAAGTGGTCATACAAGGTTGACATGTGGATCACCAGTGCTATCACAATCATCTTTTCCTCTACCAAAATATGGATCCTCATCAAAATCCAAAGCTCATATGGTGTCAAGCAAAAGGCAATCAAAATCGCAATCATCTTTAAAATCCCAATCACAACCGGCTTCACCTTTTGGGACTGTTAACTTAGGTGATTTTTAAATGCAAACGTTGTATTATGTGGATTTTATGTGTGAACTTTTAACATTTTCAGTTAGGCATGTATTAGTAACTTGAGTTTGAAAATTGCTATGATATGTTCAAT